AGGTCAGGCTTAATAAGTGAATAAGTGACAAGCTAAAAATTTGGCTTGAGAAGGATGAATATATTGGTCTGTCCAGGGGCTAGAATAACCTATATGGGCTTGAAACAGTACCAAACCCTACACTATGATAACCATCATCAGAAATTATGATGAGTGACGATTGACGAAAGTTTAAAGAATAAATTTAAGCATCACATGTTTAAATCACATGAGATTACAAAATATGATAGAAATTCAAATTAGTAAGGAGATTGGAATTCTAAAATCAAAATCATTGACCACAAAACAATTGCTTAGACACTTAACAAGTTGAATAATCAATCAGTGATCTGAATAAAGTAAAAATCGATATCTTTACATAGCGTTAGGTCATCATAATGAAAAAGGACAAACCAATCATTCATTAACGAAGTTAATCTCATGTTGACTAAGTTAGACTGATAAATAATGAAAATCATTTTCTGAAAAACTATATGCAAAGTTAGTTTACTTGAATTTAATACTTTTGATTTTGATGGCGAATAATGAAGGGGATGTTTAGATTTATTATTACTTTTTATACTTACGGGATGTCTATAAATACCTTTCACTTAATTAAAACAACTAAAAGTATTGTAAATTACAAACTCTAATTAATGTTTTCGTATATTCAGAAAAAATGGGTTTTCTCAGTTTTGTAATGTCATTCAAAAAAATTAATTAGTTTCTGTCTCTTCAGAACACATTTGAATAAAATAGTTTTCACAATCACAATTCGGTTTCATTTAAACAGTGTTCTGCAAATCCTTTGCTTATATATTTATAGTTCATTTGGCGTATTTCCACCAGAAAAACATTGGTTTCGAGTGCTGATGATTAGCTATGCTCTATTCAGTGAGTAATGTGATTTACAACACGTTTTAAAGCTATGTAAATTCAATTAAAGGTCTATAAGTATATGTAAATACTTTCTCCAGAAAGACTGTTTTTCATCAAAAGAAATTAGACATTTTCCAGTACCCGTTAAAAGTTATTACATATTAGTACACTGTTTCTGGATCAGCTTGACAAAATTCAATATTTAACACAATATACTTCGATCTCATAAATTCGACTTCATCACTGAATCATACTTGACTTAAGATCTGTGAAAAATGGATATCTACCAAAGTTGTTTCAGTGTATCAGCAAAGAGATATGGGATTACTGTGGTGAATGGGAAAGGAGTCGTTATCACAATGGTATCAGATATAATTAATAATACTAGAAATGGGTAGTGTCACATGGAAATCAGGAATTAAATTCATGAACAAGAGGTGTAATGCGTCCTTCGCTTTCTCGCTCTCTTTCTCTCTAATTGTCCGTTCTGATCCACAATTGTACAAAATAATAGGTATTCGAAATTCATTCTCGTATTCGACTTATTCAATTCCATTAATCACTAACGCGAGTTAAGTCGATAATACTATACTAGGAATGGCAGAATGTATATTTCAATAACAACAATAATAATACGATTTAGATGGAGTGAGATATCGGGTCACTAAAAGTGATGAGCCTGTCGGTAACATCATCGTCTGATCTAATTGACGTCAAAATGAAGGGTAATGCTTGTATACATGTGATAGATCAAATGATTTCGAATTATGACATTTAGAAGCTAATTGCAAATAATAACGACTAAATAGCATGCACACTATGCAAATGAGTTCATCAGCATCATTTGTCTAGCTGATTCGTGACCAGTTTCATTAGTGAATGTAATGATCGTCGATCGTCAATATAGAATAATTTTATTGTGAAAATTTTCTATTTAAGTAATGATCTTCACTTCTATTAAAAACAGTGTGGTTGGGACATATTGTTCAACTTATATTTATATATATGTGACACATTACATAATGTTTTACTTCGTTCACTCGTTTTTAGATATGGCGGGAAACTGCTTTTGGTTCATGATAGCTAGACGTAAAATTGTAATTATGACCAAATCTCTTATTCCTCATCTAATCAACTCATTTATCAGACTATTAATGATCATTTCTGGATTGTGTTTAATCGGTCTATCGATTTTCGATGTGAGTTTATTTGTTTTTACTCGTGAGTAATTTATAATATTGCTAACATAATAGATTGTCAACTATAATCATGGTTTTAATGAAATGTTGTGCCAAAGTAAAGTTTTACGATTTCTCAGGAGAGGATTTAATTTATTTTGTTTTCTATACTGATTAACTCAATACAGACTTACAAGCAATACTTGACTCACTAACATAGAATGTCAATAACAATAGATAATGATAATTAATTACTCAATTGAAATTTAATGAATTTCCTTTAAATCTGTGATTTAATTAAAGGTTAAGTTGTTTTAGTTAGTGAGAATATTTCACTTGTAATAATCCATTTGTACTTTCGATGGACCTATATTGGGGGCAGTCATAATTTAGTGAATAAATTGCAAATGATTTATGCTACTATCTTTATTTATCACCAAAAATTGAAGGAAATGATTCTACTTCAACTGGTATCTACGAGAGCTGTTTATTCACAGTATGAAATATCAGAATTTTAGCCGTTTCTTATGTTAAATCAGATATTTAATCATTTTGTCTTTCTTGGATTCATAGCAAAGTACAAGTTTATGTAGAAATCTAAGACGTACATTTTGTCCTATTCAGGACTCGTCATTTTGGCATACCTGCATCTCACAGTTGATGTTCATCCAAAATGTCAACAATGGGACAGTCGAAACCGTTATTAAATAATTTAAAATACATTTTTTAAATATCTATATGATTTCATAGTTCTGAACGGATGTCGGTGCAAACCTATTGTTCTTGAGCACACAAATCACAGTTCTTTTTTCTTATTTACTACAAGAAATTTCGGAAATGAATTGTTACTATTGTCATCAGATCTTGAATTGTTGCGCATAGAATAACAACACATTCGTTTTCGCGCAATAAATGTTTCAATGTACTGCTTACTATGTTAAAGATACGGAAAGCCTAGTTATTGATGGATTGCCTGACATCAGATTAATAAATCGACAGGAATGCATTGATTCTTAATACATAAGACTGTCGCCAGTTCAAATTCTTTCAACTTATGATACATAATACTACATATTATTTGATTTCATTTGCTTATTTGGTAAGACTTCTTTTACAGAAAACAGCTGAGTTCATGAAGAGTTTTATGAGCTTTTACGTGAAACTGAAACGCAGTAGATCTCGGCTTAGTAGTAAACAATAATTTTTGAATATGGCCTTTATTTATGCCATAATGATTAAGTTAAAGTCCATCAGCAGCCAGATGTATTTCCAATAACTATATTATTATCTTTTCTTGAAACTTTGGATTGTTCTTTGAATAACTTTGGAAAGTTCGCTTATTTACCAACAGTTAGATAAAATACAAGATATAACAATCCATGCTTATGGTATAACAATAGTCATACCTGTACACGAATGGGTCCATCGGCTACACTTTGTACTTGAACTTTTGCCACCTGGTGTCACAGTCAGAGACGTCATCACCGAGCTCACAGTTTTCTGTTAACTTCCACCGTCATCAAAAACAGTACAAGCTACATCGAATTAATTAGTCCAGTGATCATGTTTCAGTTGATAAGTGGAATTCAGTCAAGACTGGGTACTGAACAAACATGATATTTGTTGCTACCCAGTAGTGAATCACTGTTAATAACTAAATTAGATGTTTGATCAGAGTTTTTATAATCAATGAAATGATATGACTTAAAACTGAAGTCATTGTTAGTTTATGAGAGCACAAATAATTTTAACTTGACAAATTTAAGTTTCAAGTTATAAATGAGTAAGGAATATGCAAGTTAGGAGAACTAAAATGAAATAGGTTGAAATGAATTGTTAGAAATTTGAATAGGTTTTGTTTCACTTTAATTCTTCATGAGTTTATTTTATTTCCAATCTATAGATGGAGAATTATAATGAAATACACTATCTGATGACAGTTGGGAACTTTACGTGTCATGTCCTGTCGGTATTGTTTGGATGTTGCCTAGTGGTCAAATATTTTGAGAAACCTTTCTGGTTTAGTTGCTTTCGCCTTCTGCTTATTGTACAAATGGTTATCGGAGCAATGTTATGTGAGTTTCAAGATATATATATATACTGAAAATGTAAAGAATAGTTTTCGTCGAAGAAAATCTTGCAATGATGCTTATCTTGATAATTTTTTACAGAAAGTATTTATCAGTACGCTAGTAGTAGTTCAAATGTTCTCGCCCTATAAAGCTACCGGTAGTTACAATATAAAATGCTGTGCATTATATGAGTATTAGATGACAAATCAATACATTGATTTATCTTGTTATTCAAAAGCCGAAAATTATGTTTAGAATTTCTATATTCAAATACGCTTTCATTAATATGTATCAAGAATTGGAATGAATTCAGGTTGAAATCGATTAAACAAACATGTGATGATTAGTTATATTTGTTCCCTTTGAAAGCTCATAAATAATTTGTAAACTAATTCGAAGGACATTTCATAAAATGAAACGTGAAGTACTGAGAACTTAATTAAGCTTCAGAATATACAATAAAACTACCTACAAGTAAAAATCCGTAACATATTTGAGATGGTTTGAGTAACATTAAATTGGTATCATAACAAGTAATTCATTGCTCAAATCTTGAAACACAATTACTTGAGGTCCACCACCACAACGAAGTGGTTAGAATACACTTTCCTTATTCTCTGACTTTTTCTCAATAAACATTTTATTGATTAAAATTAGTTATATTTATAAATGACCTAACTAAATGTAAGTGTTACCATTAGAACCTAGATGCTGTACATTATAGATAAGTATGTGGTCGAATCAAGTTTAGAAATTAGGAATGATGAATTAAATTCCTACTAATGGCAAACGTTTAATGAAAGTTTATGTTTACAATAAATAAAGATTGAAACTAACATTTCAATAGTCAATCAAGTTTAATCGTCACCAATATTTGTTTGTATACTTCTAGTTGTTTATTTCAACGTAATCGGGCTTCCTTTATTGAATACATCGAACATTTATCGAATGAAACCAACTGATGGTGTAAGTTTCCACTTTGTAAATATTATGGATGAACATGCTTTGAATTTTGAGTGAATTCACACTATCTGTTAGTGTGGATTGGTTGTGTCTAGAAAGATATTTTCTGAAGTCGTACAGACTCGACCGAGCTTGATTGAATGAACATAAGCTGTGTTAAGAAAGATAGAGAGTGGTATCATTTATTGATAGGTATGAAAACACAGATGTGTAAACTAAGCATTTTCTTTTCAATGAATTCTCTTCAGGTTCTACAATTAGATATCCAATTTCATAATATAACTTGTTCCACAAGAACAGTTGAATTGGTAGGTACAGAAAGAGGTGGTTAGTCTAGGCAATCTATCCTTCAATCTCGAAATGATCATAGGACGTGTAAACACAATAATTGTGGTTTACCCACAAAAAATATTTCTTGAATTGCTCTGTGCAACTTTAGCATCAGCATTTCACTGGGTGAATTGACTCTAAAATTTACGCATATACAGCGAATTTTTGATCACATTTAGGTCTTCCTTGTTCTCTCTTTTCTTAGCCGAATTTTTATTTATAAGTTTTTCTGGATATCCGTTCTCATTCAGGGTAGTACTTAATACCTTTGTTTCCTCTTCAACCACATATAGCCTTGATTATATGGAGAAGCGTTTTAATAAGGTTCCCTTTGTATTATCGAGGAACAAAACTAAGAAAATGTGTATATTGGCCGGTCCAAGTCATTTTCTTGTTTAAGTTTCGCCTTAGTGACCAATCTACTCTCTTTGTATGTAGAACATCTAGAAGGGCTGTTCTACTTCTAGTTTCTTCCTCACATGTGAATTTAATAGACGGATGAACTTCATTAAATCCCTTGGTGTCTCTATTAGGTCAGTATAGTAGTTATATAGGATGAACTTATTATCGATATATCGACAGTACAATGAAAACTTGTCATTCTGCTATATCAGTAGACTGTTTTCTAGTCCAGTGAAAAAATCTAACGGTGAACTCATCGCTACATCGTCTATTTGTCTATATTATTTTACCAGTGAATTTGAAGTTTACGTTCACAGTACATTTTAGTAATAACTCCACATCCACATCCACAGGGATTGCAGTCTCTATTACTTGTTATCTTTGTTCACAGATACATTCAACAGTCTCCCTAAGTGAAACATCGGTAATCAACGATGTTATGTCTAAGGAAATCATCGTTTGTCCTTTAGTGTTTACGTTTTTGATCTTGTTGACAAACTGGAATACATCCTTAATACTATGCTTCTCTAAGCATTAGTGGGGTGGTTTTAAAATGGTTATTAACCGCTTTTCTACAATATGATAAGGAAAATCGTACATGTTCAAATTTAGTCTTAATGGGATACCCGGTTTGTTGATCTTCGGTAGTCCATATGACCTAGGTAATTGACTGTTTTTCTATGAGCTTATGATTATCGCTCACACTATTCGTCACATATCTTTAGCTTATTTTTGTCTAGTTATAAAGGTCGAGTCATGCTTGATCAAATAGAGTTGGATCACTCGAATTTTCCACTTTGTTTCCCTGTTTTTCATTGTGGATGTGTGTTTGTATAAACAAGTGCTTGAAACGAATTCATCCAACGTAACCCGTATTTGGCTTGTTATTGCCACTATCAGATAAACGATGTTAGCCTATGCGTAATAAACGAAGTTAAGTGACAGATTTATGTTCATCACATATTAATTCGTTCTTTTAAATTGGATTCAGATCAGCTAGGCACTAAGACATTATTATCGGTGTTACTTAAATTCATTGTGTTCACTAATCTTACAATTTCATTTAAAATACAAGCCAAATCACGTTAATATCTTATCTCAGTCATCTTAAATTTAACAGCTTAATGTTATATTACAAATAAACGTAAAATCATATGTTATAACTGCAAACGGTGTATTTGTCTCAAAACTAGCTTTCTTTCGGATTATTAGTTTTGAAATCATAGTTGGTGAACTTGATCAGATCTGGTAACCACAACACTAATGTTGAAATTTATGTAAGAGAGTATTTTGTGCTTTAACTAATATTTTATTTATTTTGTCAACGTGTTTAGGGCTACTGGGAATTTCTTTATTGTGCCATTGCTGAGTGGGTTATGGTGCTTGCATGTATTCTATTCACTCTAGTCATTGCTCTGGAAACACAAACATATGAAGACGTTTTAGTACGAAGTAAAATCAGAAATATTACCACAATACAACTTATGAAACAAGTTTAAAATATGTCAATTGTTACGAGCGACATCTTGTACTCACTAATCTTTAAATCAAATTGATGAATATATTGATGAATAACGAGTTGATCATTTCTTTATGAACTAACTGGTGAGAAAATCGAGAACGTGGTTCTTATTTGTTTTGAAAGTCAGTTGGGGAAACATTTAAATCGGATGTAATTTGATTTTCACTTACATCAGTTGAAATTTTGATTCTCATTTGGAAATACCATGGTTGCATGTGTGTCCACATTTAACAAACAATCTACGGAGAATTTGAAAGTTGGAATGACAAAGGTTATCAATAATAACTATAAATATGCAAGAAGTTAGAGGTTATTTGGTGTTAGAATCAAGGAAACATTAGGGATGAGTGCTGCAATTAGTTGAATGAAGTTCAGAAACAGATAAGATAAATTATGTGATAATTTTACAGGTAATAAAGGATTTACATAAAATTCATAGAATTAAAAAAACTGACTAGACGGGTTACGTTATAATTGAATAGGATTTGAAAAGTTTACATAATTTAAGAGAATCGAGTGAATGGAAATGTATGAGTTAAGGGGTGGTTTAAGAACTCGGTGATGAAAGAGATATATAACAAACTGAAACATTAACAAAATAAAACTGATGACCGAAAATTGAATTACCAGGGTTGTAATAGATTTATCACTGTCTCTTTTTGTATACACAAATGAGGTTTGAGTATTTTTCTTATCGCTATCGCTTCAGCAAAACAGAGAGAAGTAGTATTTCTTTGTCTGCTAGTAATTTTAAAAGCATGAGGAATGTCAGTGGTTTGCCTGGTGCCAAGTAAATGCTGAGCTATTGCAATTCTAAGACCCTTAGTCCCTCGCAGTCTCAATTTCTTTGGGACATGCTCGGAAATGCGAACATGTAATCTCCTCTCGGTTCTTCCAATGTATGTGCTTGGGCACGTACATGTAAATTGGTAAATACAGTTGAACTTCTGAGAAAAGATGATCTGTCGATTTTAGTTTGTTTGAGCGAGCAGTTCGTTTCCCATAGCGTAGTCAGTTTTGCTACTGGATAGGTCATCTTCAACGCGGAATTTATCCTGCGATTAATTATTTCAGTGATTTCATCTCCCTTGAAGCCTAAGTATAAGAAGCAGGTTTTCTTTTCTATTATATCGTACTTAACCCGAGGGTTGGTTTGGCCATATTTCTGGATGAACTTCACCGTATATACATATTCACGTAGGTAATTTGTAATGAGATAAATTTCATCTTCCAGGCATTCTTTTGAGCAAATTTTGCGTGCGCGTCAAAAAGGGTTCGCACGATACCTTTTTTGTAACTCATTGGACAGAAACTATGATAATTGAGATAAACTCCATTCCAGGTATTTTTGCGGTGAATGTGTCTTTGTAATGTGCCGTCTGATGTTTGTCTGATTAAAATATCTAGGAAATGGAATTTATCTTCTACTTCATGATCCATAGTAAAATTAATATCCTTGTGTGCTTATTAAACAGACTGAATAGGTTCATGGAGTACTTATGATTGTTGCAGACGAGAAACGTGTCATAAATATATCTACAGTAGTGTGTAGTTCCATCAGCTACATGCTTGAGCTTCTTCTGTTCCATGTTTCCTATAAATATGTCGGCCAGAATCGAACCCAAAGGAATACCCATGGCTTTTCCATCAGTTTGGCGGTACAACTCCTTGTTGAATTGAAATTGTATGTTTTTGGTACACAGAAACAGGAACTTTTTGAATTCATGGGTTGGTAAAGTCAGAAGTTCAGGAAATTCACATATGATATCTACCGTTTCTTCCAACGGGATCTTTTTGAAGAGTAAGGAGACATTAAACAAAACCATGAATTTATCAGAAGCATTTAGGCTATCAAGCTTTCGTACAAATCCAAAACTATCCATCAGACTGTAGGGTGCCAGTTTCTTACGGCTTGGTTCTAAGCACCTTGTCAACCAGTAGGCGAGTTCATGGAAGGGTGATTTGGTCATAGATAACATTGGTCTTATCTGGATGTCGGGTTTGTGTGTTTTAGGTAGATCGTATAAGTAAGGTAATTGCGATAACCTATCAACCCCGGTAATCTCACTTCAAGAATTTCTGTACACACTAGTAATTTCTGCATTTTTAATATCAAATCGAACAGAATTGATGAGCGTGTTTAGGTCATTAACATACTTGTAATACTCATCTAAATTGTAACAGAAAATAGTCAATTTCAAAACTTTTGAATTCTTTTCGAAAAAAACATAAAAGGAATGTTGTAGATGCGTGTAACAGAATTAGAAATTGAGATATTGGTTGGGAAGGAAACACTTTAAGTATATTAGTTACTAATTATGTGAAAAAATAATTAGCTTAGAAACTGATGTAGCATTAATTCATAACTATTCTATGGTTTTAATAACATCAGAGAGTGTATGTGATTTGAAGCATGATATGAAGTAAAGAAATCTTCAACTCCGCACTGGAACCCTATAATTTCTTCTACATGGTGCACACATGCACGGAGTTCGTTGCAAATTCATTTATTTTTAGCTGTAAAGTAATGATGAGGTTAATGGGGTTGATGGTCCTTTTGTGATAACCAGCCAAATTACAATGCGAATTCAAAAGATGCAGTTGTTTTCCGTTCATTTACATCGATTAGCAAAACTGACTGCAAAATTATTTCCAATCATATTCCAAAGATTTAGATGACTTATTCAACTACCTTGACAGTATAGGTATGCCCATCCAGCTATCTGAATCCCCATGTAAGTGACACAGCCGAGAATGTCCCTTTTTCCCCAAAAAATAGTTGGACTGAACTTCCTGATTTCTTTCCGTAACTATAGATAGATAGGGGTCCTAATAAGTGATGTCACATATGATTATGATGAACTCAATAACTTTACTTCTCCAGCACGGTAATATGACCGAGCTCGTTACAGATAAACATAATTACAGATACTGAAACATCTCTTGCCACCTTCCTACCCAATACATGCAATTTGTCAGTTAGTTATGCAACTGTGTCTATGTAATGTCTTCTATTATCATCTGCAACAAGAGATAAAGAGGGTGATACGTAAAAGATATTGAATGGAGAAAGAAAATCGTGACTTATGAGAACTTCCATTCAATGAATTTTTCGAATACTGCATGTGTTAACATCTATAACTAGTTAATAACTTTTGATAGGTTTCGATTTGTTGGTTGAATTCTGTTGGACCTTGGAATCATAGATAACAACAAGGTTGAGAAACGAATTGAAGAGAAAGATGATTGAAATAAATACATAAATAATAGCAGGATAACAACCACAAATTAACGAAATGAAGGTCTATAGAACAAACAGTTAGTTGTTTTTAGAAAATTCGAGTAGCTTATACTTACCTGAGATTCACGTTAATGAGGTTGGTTAGAAAGAGAATGAAAGCTTCATAATGAAATCATGCAGCTCATAGAGAATAACTTCATTAAACTATCATCTTTAGCCGAAATCGTATTCAAATTAAGTTTAATATGTCAAAATAAGCTAATCCCTCAAGTCATACGGGGCTTAAAAGTGTAAGAAACACTAGATAACATGCGAAGAGAAAGTAGAAAATTATTGTTGCAAGTAGGAGGGTGAATATAAACGTCAAAACACAGGAGTAAATGATTTATGAATGTACATACATATTTAAACTCCTCTTGGAGTCCCTCTGGGGCTACTGCCAGTCCTAAGCACGGATAAAGGAGGAGGGTTGGGCATGGGGTTAGCGACCCCATCCCGTAGAAAACTAACTCGCTAAAAAAACGCTCAAACACTTCTTGTGCATTAGTCTGAGAATTGTTCGATTATGACTCAAGTTACTTATTGTAATCAAGTAGTAAGAAAAAACAAAGAAAAATAGATGAAAAGAGGGGTTGAAATTACAAATAACAAGTCAATCTTCGAGGAATGCACACATGTTAATAAATATTGACCAACTGAACTTGGTAATACCAACCAAAAAAATGCAAACAATTACAAATATTTGCATACACATTTGACAAACTGACGAGTATTTGACCACAGTAGCTTAATGGACTACTTGTAGACTTTTGAAGCGATAAACACTAGGTTTGAGCCTCACTATGAATATTAACGTGGATGTAATTCTTTAAAATAATAAAGCTTACTAGATATCAAAGAGTAGTTGCTTCCCAATTTCTGTCTTGTTGAAAAATATGTATCGCTTCACGATTTTAATTAAACTGTGATTTTTTGGGGTGAACATTTTATTATCTAAAATATGTGGCCGCGTAAATTCAGTAATATAAAATAACGTAATATCAATAGTTCAAAAAAGTATACCTGTCTCTTTTGTTCTGTATCAAATACGAAAGTGAAAATAAGACTCACTCTCCTGATTAGTGTAGTGGCTTAGCTTCGTTAATCAATCACATTAATGACCGTTATTATATAATTCTCAACGGTGTTTGAAATCAGAAGGTAGTAGGAAGAGGCGATTACAGTTGATTAGCGGTAAAGTTTAAGAACATAGAGTGAATTTGAAGCCGAAAGGCGAATGTGTGTGTGCGAGCAAATATGGAGGCAAATTTTTGGTCAAATCGAATAAGGCGCAGCTAGGTAAGGCATAAGCTAATAATAGGATTTGAGTACATACATAGTGAAAAGAATGACACGTCGATCGATATTTAAGCTATAAACATTTTAGCTGGAGGGAGATATGTGCATAGGCTGTCATATGATCAATCGTACACGTTTATACATATATTACAATAATCGTAATAGTACAAAGAAACGGAAGAATTGTTACTGTTGGAATAGCATTATCTGTTAAGTAAGTTGATAAAAGGGCTTAACAAAATTTAACCATGATAAAAATTGATTGTAGGAGAGTCGTTATATTAGAATGTGTCAAGATAGTTTATTTACTTCAAGTATATTCTACTTTACCAGCGATAATTCATTCAATCATATCTCTTGCATCAACAAGTATCGATAGCTAGCTTACATGTATTTTAAACACAAATCAATATTCTCAATAACTTCTTGATTGATTGGTTAAAATCATGATTATGTTTTACTGAAGAAAAGCGTCATGTGGATTGAGTTATTAAATAGTTTGCACACTTGAGGTTATACTGTGATATTCTCGATTTTAAATGAAGCAATTCACATTAACATTTGATTAAAGATTGATTGTATGAAAGTGAGTTGACTGCTACTAATTAAATTATTCCATTTGTTTACTCATTTTAAATGTTATAATTTCAGCTGGTGAATAGACAGATAATTGATATGATAGGGTTTAGTGTATTAAATATTCATGGTAAAACTTAATTACAAGTATATGCATAGAGACAATGCCTACTAGTCGGATACTGCGATAATTCGCTTGGATTAGATGATTCAATTGATAAATGTACAAGTTAATGATAGTTTGAAATGTGAGTGATTAGAACAGAGTAAGTAAGGGTGAAATGTTATATGCTGCATTAATTACGATGAATTATTAATATGAGAATAGAGATGATATGGAGAAAAGACAGTTGCTTAATGATTACTGATGATATTTGTCTGATATTGCAGTCGTGTTATTTGGAATAGCTTGATTTAATCCTGCTTTCTATCTAAAATGTGTGTTTGAAGGTGGTGGAAATTGTATCAGTACTGGAACCATGATATCCTCATCATACACTATCCTTATTCTCGAAAATGGTAAGTTGTTGTTATCTGTGTAGTTCCTACTCAGTGAAAATGGCACATGATAAACATCAGGGTGACTATTTGTGATGTGCTTGCAAACTTTACACACGTATGACTTTCAGTAATCAGTTTTTGCATAACCAATAATGATAAGTAATCTTGAGTCAGTTGTACATGCTCATGTGACATACATTTGGAAGGGGCGATTTTGGTTATTTTGTTTTCTAGGGGATGGTGTTGGTTATGACATGCCTAGTCCTTCTCCTTTATTCGAGCTTGGAACCGGCGGTAACCGTCGAAGTGCTACCGATTCGTTTTTGATCAGTATTAGTTGATATCAATCAAATTATATTGACTGATGATCCATAATTACATAGAATTGAATTGATGGTGGCCAAAGTTTACACTTTGATTTCACATTTAAAGAGCGCTTTCCAAAATCTTGTCAATTCGGGTCGGATTTTCGATAGTAAATAAACCTTTTCATTTTTAGTTGTTCAGGAGTTGGCTTCAGTACATCTGCTTAACATGTTGATCTGTTGAATCTACAATGAAATCAAGTGTTATGACATACGGATATCAATCGGTCCGTTCGCACAAGTTTTGGAAATGTTCTCAGTAAATAGACCTAAATGAATTGTCCATAAAAAAATAATGAGCATTTGCTTTACAATCACTGGTATCCATAATCTCTGTTTATCGATGGAATGAGGGCAACTACACATTTTTACACTGGCATATGTATAAACAATTTAGTAGCCTACTTTTAGACTACTTAATTTAAATTAGTAACAGAATTTAATAGGGATATTTTACAAATGGTTAAATCTTTATCTGCGATCATGGGCTTTTGATATTGAATCAGTGGCAACATTAAAATAATGTGCTTGTGAACTTCATTGAAAATATATGTTATTACTCGTAAAATACAAACTGTATTCTGTGAAGAACCGTAAAGAGAAAGAAAACGTTGAGTGTAATTGTGTGTAACGTTATCACGGTTTATAGTTAGTGATTTCATAGTTATTAGTATTGGAGGCTGTGGATTGCAGATGCTATGACTACAGTTTCACGTTACAAATCGGCTGTAATTAAATAATCACTGAAACCAAGCAAACATAAAACATTCACTTAGTCCTATTATAATACTTATCATCAGTGAACATCCATGATTCAACCAAGAATCAAACTGTTGGCCCCCCGGGTCTCACAGAGATCTCCCAACGTTTAGACCAGTGATTTGGGATCTATCTTTATTTTATTTGAGAATGATCATCATTCATTGATGTTTATGAAATTCACCTCACGCCTCTCATAGAACAACTTTAATGATTACAGCTTCTCCCTAACAATTGTACTTAGCTGCGAGTTACATGTATCGATTTTTATGTAGGGGTTTGTGTAAGTTGTTGAATTTATGAGCTTTATTCACATATTATTTATACTTAGATAACCGTAGTAAATCAGGTTGAACAATGGATATTTATTTTAAAGGTTTCATAATAATGAAATTATAAACATCAATGATTACTATTATAGCTAAAGAAACATGTTTAAACTTGATTACACTCTAATTTGTATATTTTCAGAAAATAAAATGTACTTAGTAGCACCGTTGTCATGTTATTTAATATTTCAATAGCAAGTGTAAGAGTTTTCAAAAATATTTATGACAACAACATTTAATTGTTTTAGAATACAGTGACTAGATTTGTCTAAACTTTCACGAGTGTCTCATTCATAACACAGGATCTAATAAAAATGATGCTCAGTTATAAAAATTACTACATTCCATCTGATCTATACGTTTATATATATTCTAGGATTGTAACTATTTTTATGCACGGATATTACACTTCACTTCGCTATTAGCATAGTAAATGCCCCCCTGTAGGATTCACATGCTTTACGGTTGGTTGATTACTGAAGATTGACCAATATCGTGTCCTCGATGTCATGTTTTTGAGGTTAGTGTCCATAACGCAACCTGATCGATAGAATTCAACTAGAATTAGCTGGGTTTTCGTATATATATATTGCTCATAACTCAGTGATCAATCAATTCTAGATATTTTAAGCGAAAAAAAATGTTTTCAGGAAACCATAAATGCCCACCATATTGTTCTTTGTGGCAAAACATTGATGACATCATGACTATTTGGAGCGATTACTTTATACGACAGAAAGAAAGGTAACACAGTAATAATAGATGAGTAAGAAGCATAGCCTAATCATAACGCGCTTATTTTGGAGACGAAAGATATGAAATGGTAGTGTGTCATGATGCAATATTATGTTTGGAACTGTAAGAAGTCCAGCCTACAAAGTGTTAAGATATTTTGATAGTCAAGGATACACTTCACTGTGGTTATCTTCCTGATTGAATGAAGAGCATTTAAGTTTTGTATAAGAACTTATAACATAGAGGTGAGTTAAGTTCCATTGATATCATTAATTCTAATTATTTCAGTTCAAATATTCAAAGATAAAAATGTTTTTGAATTAGTGATAACGATTCTTATTTCAGTAATCGATCGATGTATGGTCATATAGACTCCAATCGTACTTGAAATACATTAGAAAGTTATGCATGCATTCGATAATTGTGTTTGTAGCCTCGTAATATGCTCAGAAATATGATTTTTATTTTCTTAATTTTAGATTTTAACTCAACTTGTGAAAAGTATTATTGAAGTTGAATGTTAATTTGTTGGAGAAAAGTTAAACCAGTTTGGTTTTCTAAAATTGCGTTAATTATTGCTATTTTGGGATTTCCTCCAGTGTAAGTCAATTATCTCAATTTTAATTTTGAATATCTATATTGAGATCAAGTTTAGAAATATGAGATGTTTTTCATAAAAAATTAACTGATGGGTAATAAATAAAAACGGGAATCAAAAATCATTCTTATCTGTTCCATTGTTAATAACATACTAAAAGAACAGTATTCGAACGAAGAATATTCTTTTCGATAAATTCTATTCAGGTTAATCCAAAAAATGGCCAGGTTAAGGGCAAACTACATCGGTTAAAGTATGTGAATTTAGGATTGTTAAACAAAATACAATAAAATTGTTGATATGATATGACTCATATAGAATGTTAACTTGAACCTGCATATATGTTAAGTGAAATTTTAAGATCCATGATCAGAATAGATATGGGTCAGATAGGGTGAGAGAGAAATAATAGCGCAATTACAATTCGAACAACACGTATAAGCGAACAATTGTTTTCAATTAGATCGTCATCAGGCTTTACTCTAATATACATGAATATTTATACGAAAATGTTAAACCAATCAAGGCAATATGGGTCAATAATCACAATGAAATAGAATAGGTCACCACACATAATATGTAAAATTCATGTTGATAGTAGGAAGACAAGTGTACTGATAGTAGTAAGAATAATAAAATACAGTAACAAAAGTCTTATCAATAGTTGAACGTTGGAAATAGAAGGTCAAAAGTGGGTAAGTAGACTTGGAATAGTCATCACAAAACATTGAAATCATTACGTAATAAGAAGTGTGTAAATAATTAGATAGTGAAGAATACAAATGGCAAGAGGCGAAAAATTACAAACAAATACTACATGTGAAAATAAGGTTAATGATAACAAAAATAGAACAAAATAATCAGAATGGGTTTTGTGGAGAGTTTTTTTAGAAATTTCACAAGTTGAAATCATGAGTCAGTTGAAGCTAGACCACCATTGAAAACCTGGAAGCACTGGACGGCCGTTTCGTCCTGGTATGGGACTCCTCAGCTTGTGAAATTTCTAAAAAAACTCTCCACAAAACCCATTCTGATAATAATCAACTGCTCACTAGTGACTGACTTCAGGAAAAACTTCTGGAGTTCTAGTGAGAAGCCGTTACCAGTGGAGTTCAACCGGTCTGTTGTGAGATAACAACTCACTGAAGAAAATGGTGTACGGTGGCGCAACTTCGTGGATTGGTTGAAGTTAGACATTAACACCGTTGGATGCCGGCTCAGTGGTCTAGTGGTTAAGTGCTCGCGCGCGAAGCCAGTAGGTCCCGGGTTCGAGCCCCGCGTGGTGCGGGATCGTGGATGCGCACTGCTGAGGAGTACCATACCAGAACGAAATGGCCGTCCAGTGCTCCCAGGTTTCCAATGGTGGTCTAGCTTCAAATGACTCATGATTTCAACTTGAGAACAAAATAAATAAATAATAATTTCTAAAAAATCGTTAGTTAAGTTATAACTGGCCATGGGAGGGATAGAGGGGTTACGAATTTCTTCTGTACACATAAATTATGGTTATATGTACGAATTCCTATAGCTTCAGCTATATGTAGGAGGCGGGAACGAACTCCGTTGGGAAATGATGGAGGTATACGATAGATCACTCGAAATGATTTTGATTTATCTACAGCATGACCGCTATCAATGAGATGTGCCAAGATAGAACTGCGAATTGTTTTTATCTGGCCCTTTATAAACCACGCTGGTAGATGTTCACTCATTCGTTGGTCAAATTGCCTGGTAGTACGTCCGATATAACTACCTCCACAGGAGCAGCTGAATTTGTAAATGCAAATTGAGGAGGCCAACTCAGGTAACTTATACTTCGTTTGCGTAGACATCGCTGGTCAACAAGAGAAAGCCAACGCAATATTGGCTGCGTAGAATGTCATGGTGATTACTTTCGTTAACCTATATTTCAGAGTATCACTGGCCACATCCCCGTTGAATTGTAGTTTCATATATAAAGGTTTCTTACGAACAGTCGAAATCTCCGACTTCTTTGTTATATCATGCATGTACTTCTTAATGAAAGCACTGGGGTAGCTGATCTCTGTCAGTGAGTTGTTGATGAATTCAAGCTCCTGACTTAGAGTGTCTACTGTGCAGTTCTTTTTAGCTCTGCTAGTGAGAAATCTAACCAAATTTCTCTTGTACCGGATAGGCGTGAAACTGTTTGAATTTCGCCTATTTTCACCTTCGTGACCAGATAATTAATTATAAATTTTCTAGGATAGCCGTTCCCCCTGAGAGTATTATGCAATGTGTTAATCTCTTGTTCAACTATATCAGCAGAACATATAGTGCGTATACGGTAACTAAGGGTTTTGATCAAGTTTCGTTTGTACTGTAGAGGTACAAAGCTCAGGAAATTCGTATACTGCTCAGTCCATGTACTTTTTCTGTTTAAGTTCCTTTTTAACGATTCATCCGCATAAACAGGGATTTCTTCTTCACCAAAGGTACACAAACCAGGGATCCCATTAAGACCTATTCTAGATATGTATAACTCTCCTTACCATACTATAGTTATGTGGTCCGTAACTGTATTGAAACCTCTACACGAAAAGCTTATAAGATATAGTGTTAAGGAAGTGTTCCATTTTGTTGATAAAATCAAAAATGCAAATACGTTGGGACTAAATATGATGTCAATGGATGTAACATCGTTATTCACAAACTTTCCAGTCATAGAGACTGTAGAATACATAGGTGAACAACTGATTGAAAATGAAATTAAAACTACTGTTCCTATTAATGTCGTGAAAGAGTTATTACTCAAATGCACCATGAATGTGAATTTCAAGTTCAACGGTGAAATATATATACAAACAGATGTTGTTGCAATGGGTTGACTACTAGGCTCTATACTAGCTGATATGTTTCTAGCCAAACTAGAAAATGTTCCACTAAAAAAGGTTATTCAAAACTTTACATTTTACTGTACGTACATGGATGACACGTTCATCTTCTGTAAAGATGTGAGTGACGGCCGAATAGCCTTTTTGGACGTTCTCTTGACTAAAAGAGCGGATGGATCGTTAAAAAGGAACTTAAACAGAAAAAGTACATGGACTGGGCAGTATAGGAATTTCCTGAGCTTTGTACCTCTACAATACAAACAAAACTTGATCAAAACCCTTAGTTACCGTATACTTGTTTACCGTAGCTGGATGTCTATTTTTACTTACTAACCAATTACAATTTACTTAACAGTGAGCAACCACAATTCGTATTTGTATACAGGTCTAGATAGAACACAAACTTATATTATATTAGACCTTTTTTTCATATTTCATTTACTACATAAAAAGTACATACGTATTTTAAAGAAATCATGTCTTTGTTTTCTTTTAAAGATATATAGCATCTGTATATTATGAGCATGTAAATGGTTTATTCCCATTAATTAGGTAAGCTTTTAGTCTAGTTACTTTTTGCAATTAGTAATAAAATCAATGGTGAAATCATTAAAACACTGATATAATTATTCCTGAAATAATGGATTTCTGGTGAGCTTGACGATTACGTTTAAGCGTCACATGTTTAAATCACATGAGATTACAAACTATGATAGAAATTCAAATTAGTAAAGAGGTTGGAATTCTGAAATCAAAATCATTGACCACAAGGTAGTTGTTTTGATATTTAACAAGCTCAATAATTAGTCAGTAATCTGGATAAAGTAAAAGTTGATATCTGTATATAGCATTAAGGCATCATAATTAAAAAGGAAAAATAAATCATTCATTAACGAAGTTAATCTCATATCGAATAGGTTGGACTGATAAATGATGAGAATGATTTTCTGAAAAAGTATATGCAAAGATAGTTTACTTGAATTTAATACTTTTGATTTTGATGAGGAATAATGAAGAGGATCTGCATTTTTACTGCCATCATAAACCTATAGAATACCAATAAATCTTCAGCATATTTATCAAATCAGAATGATCATTAGAAAAGAAAGACGAGGGAATGGTTTCTTCAGACTATCATGATTTAATAAACTACCAACAAAAACGTAAAATACTTTATGATATGTTGACAACTATTAATAAATAGATGTGCAGGTCACCTAATAAAGAAAAAGAAATATTTGTTGTCTGTCATTAGTTGATCCAGGATCAAATGAGATCAAGTTTATAAAATTCAACTTAGTATAATTCGGGTACAGAAAGTGTACTATTAACCGGAAATGCTAATTTCTTGTTCAGTTAACACGTTTATGATTCTCTATTCTTTGCCTGCAACTATATGGAACTTAAAGAAATAGAAAGAGCTGTATTATATTAATCCAAAACTATGTTTTAGAAACTCAGAAAGTGTTTTCTACGTTTGTTGATATCATTAAAAAAATCAGTCAGTGTAATTCATGGTTCATCAAAATATAGATGTAGATAAAATATGTTGCACAATAATCATCTAAATTCATTTGACGTAAACTAGTTAAATCTTTCTCTTTAAAATTCTTAGTGCATTTGGAGTTTTCCCACCAGAAAAACATTGGTTTCAAGTGCTGATGATTAGCTATGCTCTATTCAGTGAGTAATGTGATTTACAATACGTTTTAAAACGATGTAAATTCAATTAAAAATCTAAAAATATATGTAGTTACTTTCTCTAGAAAGATCGTTTTTCATCATGTTATAACTTGTTGTTTGAATGTTTATTGTCTTGGTTCTTTTCATGCTACTTTTTGTATCTGGTCTTCGTTGATTGTTATGTCGGAAACGCCTATCAGTTATACTTGGAACGAGGGACCTCTGCAATTCCCACGACGCGAAAGTAAGAACACAAAGACTGGTATAAGTGATGAGTTATTAACCGCAAAACACGACGACGACGACTCTAGTACAAAATACACTCATTTATATATTGATTGTACACCCATTTTGATTAATAATTAGGATGAAATCCCACATATGAAAAATACCCAGAGTTATAACGAATCACATACTGAGCATAGTTTATGTCAATGGAATACAAGAATATCGTATGTTATACAGAATAAAATATCATACGAGAAAAGAAAACAAATTCTATATTGAGTAACCACTACATTGAATCAAAATGGAAGTAATTTTGAACTAAACTCATAATGTAAAAATCAATCGAAAATTGACTTTTCTTTCCATCAAATCACATCAAAAGAAATTAGACATTTTCCAGTACCCGTTAAAAGTTATTACATATTAGTACACTGTTTCTGGATCAGCTTGACAAAATCCAATATTTAACACAATATACTTCGATCTCATAAATTCGACCTCATCACTGAATCATACTCGACTTAAGATCTGTGAAAAATGGATATCTACCAAAGTTGTTTCAGTGTATCAGCAAAGAGTGATTGGATTACTGTGGTGAATGGGAATGGAGTCGTTATCACAATGGTATCAGATTTAATTAATAAGACTAGAAATGGGCAGTGTCACATGGAAATCAGGAATTAAATTCATGAACAAGAGGTGTAATGCAATATTGAAACTCAAATGATGATGAGAGATACACATTTTCATAACGGCAACGGGATTTTAACCATACTAATCAGTTCCCTTATAATTCATGAAGAAAATCTTTCTATAAATTTGAGACTAGAGGTCCACTCATGGAAATTTCAAACAATGATTAAGTGGTTACATTAGTTTCATTGACACAGTGAATGTATGTTTTCATTATTTGTTTGTTCTTTAAATATTATAGGTTTTCTGAGTGGATAGTAGTTATCTCATCTTTTTTATAATGAACAATTATGTACTCTAATTTTCAGTGATTTTCGATGAATGGTTGAAACGATTTTGAAGAAAACATTTGTCGGCTGCTATACCAAGCCTACATAGCTTATTCTAGCTTCTGGACACAACGATTTATTCATTCTTCTCAAGCTACATTTTGACCTTGTTAATTATTCGCTTCACCTCGATTCGATTCGGCTACACATACTGAGTAACATTTAACTAAAATAAATTGGCTCACATAACTTCTCCAGTTAATTTCGCTAGACTCTATCCAGTTCACGTCCTTCGTTCTCTCTCTCTCTCTCTCTCTCTCTCTCTCTCTCTGATTGTCCGTTCTAATCCACAATTGTACAAAATAATAGGTATTCGAAATTCATTCTCGTATTCGACTTATTCAATTCCGTTAATCACTAACGCGAATTAAATCAATAATTCTATACGAGGAATGGCAGAATGTTTATTTCACTAACAACAATAATAATACGATTTAGATGGAGTGAGATATCGGGCCACTAAAAGTGATGAGCCTATCGATAACATCATCGTCTGATCTAATTGACGTCAAAATGAAGGGGCACACTAAACAAGCATTTGCACAGGTACACAGTTATTGTGTGTAGCTGTATTTCTCTATTGTGGTAATGCTTGTATACATGTGATAGATCAAATGATTTCGAATTATGACATTTAGAAGCTAATTGCAAATAATAACGACTAAATAGCATGAACACTATGCAAATGAGTTCATCAGCATCATTTGTCTAGCTGATTCGTGACCAGTTTCATTAGTGAATGTAATGATCGTCGATCGTCAATATAGAATAATTTTATTGTGAAAATTTTCTATTTAAGTAATGATCTTCACTTCTATTAAAAACAGTGTGGTTGGGACATATTGTTCAACTTATATTTATATATATGTGACACATTACATAATGTTTTACTTCGTCCACTCGTTTTTAGATATGGCGGGAAACTGTTTTTGGTTCATGATAGCTAGAAGTAAAATTATAATTATGACCAAATCTCTTATTCCTCATCTAATCAACTCATCTATCAGACTATTAATGATCATTTCTGGATTGTGTTTAATCGGTCTATCGATTTTCGATGTGAGTTTATTTTGTTTTTACTCGTGAGTAATTTATAATATTGCTAACATAATAGATTGTCAACTATAATCATGGTTTTAATGAAATGTTGTGCCAAAGTAAAAGTGATTTTTACACTGTATATTTGTAATTGTTTGTTCTGTTTGCTCATAATAAGGAAATCATTTTCGATTTTACCATTGATCATTCCTAATAAACGATTTAAATATTTGCTATATTATTGAGATTTTACTGTTGCTTGCAGTACATATGCTACACTCACAGTAATTAATTTACTCAGTTCTTATCTTCTTCTGTTCACTTTTTCAAATGATTTGAATATGTAAATATTGGATTCATCTAATTTCCACAACCAATCCATTTGTATAGGTCGCTTGAATCTTCCCATTGATGTTTAAGACTGCAGTTGATCAGTCTTTTTTGGCATGCGTGCATCCTATGCGGAGTACCTTGAGTCACAAGGATTATAAGCACAGATGAATGGTGGCTAGCAATGGACTCCAGGACGTTTATTTCGTCTATTTCAGACTCGTCAACTGGATATACTTGCATCTCAGATTTAGTGTTCACCCCGGGACACGAACCCAGTACCATTCCTTTCAAACACAATCGAGTTGTCCACTAAGCTACTAAGTTCAGGAAGACAAACATTTCAGGTGTCTATATATATACTGTACAATACCAAACTCGTTTGTTGGACGAAGATCATGTTGAAATGATGGTGATTATAATCACATCACTTTATCAACAGATGAATATAAATTTCAGTTCAATAATTGGGACAGTTACACATCTGTAGGTTATATTTCAAGTAGCCTTTGTGCTTTGATGAAGCCAGCAGATGCTTGGCAACACTGCTATTTCAACTGACTGGTGTAGCGGATTAGATCTGTGGCAGTGATTACTGTCAGTTCATTTCCATTAATAGAATAGTTACGAATGGTAAATTAGAAAGATATCCTTGATAATTTATTTACGAAAACTATAAGTAGTCATAACCTGACATTTTTATTCAGTAAAAAGCAATTTATATTAACCTGTCCAAATGTTCATCAGTTTTATTGTATGTATCAATTTTTTAAATAACGTATTGTAATTATCATTTTGCAATCGGTTACGAAATACATGAGCCATCCTAGATTAATTATCATTAATTACATACAAAATGATGATATCCACCATCTCAATAGCTGGAAACAAATGATCTACAGTTGATGATTAACCACTCATTTCAAATTTACATGAGAAACATTTATAAATTATTTAATTGTTATATCTTGTGACTGCCAATTAGAGGGCGGTGAATTATCGGTCGGACCAAGGACGCGTAAAACAAGTGCGAGCAGTCTAGAGTTCTGACAGGTCCTGCTTTCTGCCTAGCCCAGCCAGTTAAGTACAGAACGCCAACCCGAGCCTATGCGATATGAATCATGTATTTCAAACATACTGAGTTTATATACCAATCAAGCAGACCACATCGTATCATAAAATAGAAAATAACATTTGTACAAGATTTGGCCAAATGTGGCTGTGAATATGTGGGGTAGTGATTAATAGACAGGGAATAATTGAAGAATGAAAAATCCTATAATAACGGTTCATAGGTTAAAATAAAGCTTATGATAAGAGAGACATGAATATGAATAGTTTAGTTAATTTACAATTATACGATAAAAATATACGCACAGTATTGGTTCATAAATAGATTCCACAAAATTACCACTCAATATTCTTATTGGGATATAACATTAATGAAAAGCAATTTATGTACGTTTTTGTATTTGATTTGTAACCAACTCACCATGCAAAAAGTTAAATCGAAATCTCAATCAAAATATATCATAACTTTGAAATTAAAATCGAGGCCTACGATTCTGTATTCAAGAATGTCATTTACATTTCCAGAAATCCATATTTTTAACAACCTACAGATGGAAAACTATGGAGGAATACATTTTCTGATGACAGTTGGGAACTTTTTATGTCATGGTATGTCAATTTTGTTGGGATGTTACCTAATGGCTAAATATTTTGAGAAACCTCTCTGGTTTTGCTATTTTCGACTTACACTTATTGTGAAAATGCTGATCAGTACAATATCATGTAAGTTATTGTATATACACGAATAAATATATACTTAAGATAGATAATTTTCATCGAAGAAGAATAACTTGAGATAAAATTTATTGTAACAATTTCTGTCAGAACTATTCATGACCACATTAGTAGTAAGATTCTGTTTAATGTAAAAGTTGATGATGTCCATTGTAGTAGTACAAATGTTACCTCTCGGTTCTTCACGTTTATACAAAAAAAACAATGTTGAACAAAGTGTGAGTATATTCCTTTCTACTTGTCAACAATCGATTTTCACTCTTTGATGTCTGCTTCCAATTACCGAAGCAGTGTCTTATTTGGTATTTCACTTTTCTGTATCCCTTCATGATTCCGAGTTAGCTCTTGTCTCGAGATGCAGTTGGATGATTTCCGCAATGTATATCTTATCCACGTCCAACATCCTTTTCTAATTTCCTCTTCAAATGGAAGTTGGTTTGCCCTCTTCCACAGTACACTGTTGTTGATGGTATCCGACAAACAGACATTGAGTATCTCGAGTAGACGATTGTTTATAAATACTTGCAAATGTTTGGTGATACTTGTGGTAGTTCTTGAAGTTTCAGCTCTGTACAGTAGAACTGTCTTGACGTTCGTAGTGGAGATTGTGACTTTGATATTGGCTTGCACGCAATTGTTTTTAATTCAATATGTTGTTCAATTGTAGAAATGCTCCCTTGTGGCGTCGACGACCGGAAGAGAGAGAAAGGGATCGAGTAAGCAAAACTGTCTGATATCGGCCTTCACTTGAGATATATCTGTTCAGCTACCTTCTATGCTCGACTTTGCAGTTTATCCTAACGTAGAAGTTCTATGTGATTGTGACAATCATCTCAACGACATCATAATGTCGGAGAAGACCCCATAACGTTCTACTACCTACGTCGTCAAACGATTTCCCATAGTCAGGAAAGTTGATGTACAGTGACAGGTTCCATTCACTTGGTTGTCCGTAGTGTCACGATTCGGTCACTAAACGATCGGCGCTTACGGAATCCAGTCTTCTAGTTCAAAGTTGGGCATCTACTGAATCTCTCATCTGGTTCAACGACACTGTTGGAAGGTTTTCTTAGCATTGATAGTAGCATGATATCTCTGCGGTTATCAGAATTACTCAAATCTTTTTTGTGTGTCTTGATGAAGTATCCTTCTTTCCATCCTGTCGGCACTTGTTCTTCCTGTCAAATCTTCTGGATATGGTGCCTTAATTCCAACCTTTAGATAATTTGTTTTTGTTAAATTGTCACTTCAATTTACATAGACGAAGTAGATGAATTACTTAATTGGATGGGATTTGCAAGTCATTACCAAACAATCAAGTTTTTATCTAGTCTTCGCCTTATAACTAAACTTAAATGCTTTCAATGAAACCTGATAAATATTATAGATAAATAATTAATGGATTGAGGTTTTTTAGACATGGGGAATTTACTACCAACAAGCACTTACCTCAAAGTGCGTTAAATTTCTAGGAATCTAGAATTGAATGAACAACGACTGTTCACTAGTTCATAAAATAACTGACTGTGAGCGTGAGCTATGCTGGTTGATAGAGACCATCTAATTGAGGTCCAAGTAATTACCACGCTCAGTGGCTTTAAATATTGCGTAATATTGCCCAGTATCTCTCACAATAAATAAGCTACATTCACTCTCTCACTCTCTCTCTCTCTCTATATATATATATATATTTATATATATATATATATATATTACTTACGCCTGTTACTCCTCGTGAAGGAGCATAGGCCGCTCACTGGCATTCGCCATCCAACCCTGTCCTGGGCAATCCTTTCCAGCTCCTTCCAGTTGTTATTCATCCTTTTCATATCTGCTTCCAGTTCCCGACGTAATGTGTTCTTTGGCCTTCCTCTTTTCCGTTTCCTTTCAGGATTCCAAGTTGGGACTTGTCTCGTGATGCAGTTTGGTGATTTCCTCAATGTATGTCCTATCCATTTCCATGGTCTTTTCCTAATTTCTTCTTCAGCTGGAGGCTGGTTTGTTCTCTCCCATAAAAGACTGTTGCTGATGATATCCGGTCAATGGATATTGAGTATCTTGCGTAGACAGCTATTTGTAAATACTTGTACCTTTTTGATGATGGTTGTTGTGGTTCTCTAAGTTTCAGCTCCGTACAGTAGAACTGCCTTGACGTTCGTATTGAAGATTCTGACTTCGATATTGGTTGAAAGTTGTTTTGAGTTCCATATGTTCTTCAATAGTAGGAATGCTGTCCTTGCTTCGCTAATCCTCGCCTTTACGTCTGCATCTTAACCTCCTTGTTCATCGATGATAATTCCCAGGTATGTATAGGATTCTACACCTTCCAGAGTTTCGCCATCAGGAGTGATTGGATTACTGTTCTCCATTTTGAATTTGAGGACCTTGGTTTTCCCTTGTGTATGCTGAGGCCTACTGATGCAGAGACTGCTGCTACACTGGCTGTCTTTATCTGCATTTGTTCATGTGTATGTGATAGGAGGGCCAGGTCATCTGCGAAGTCCAAATCGTCTAATTGATTCTGAGCTGTCCATTTCATTCCGCGTTTTCCCTCAGATGTCGAGGTCTTCATAGTCCAGTCGACCACCAGAATAAAGAGAAAAAGAGAGAGTAGACAGCCTTGTCTGACTCCGGTCCTTACTTGGAATGAATTTGTCAGCTGTCCTCCATGCACGACTTTGCATTGTAGTCCGTCGTATGAGTTCCGGATAATGTTGACAATCTTCTCAGGAACTCCGTAGTGTCGAAGAATTTTTCATAACGTTCTCCCATCTACGCTGTCAAATGCCTTTTCATAATCAATGAAGTTGATGTATAGTGACGAGTTCCACTCAATTGATTGTTCGACGATGATCCGTAGTGTCACAATTTGGTCCGTGTACGACCGATCCTTACGAAATCCAGCTTGTTGATCTCGAAGTTGGGCGTCTAATACGTCTTTCATCCGGTTCAGCAACACTCTGTTAAAGACTTTCCCTGATATTGACAGTAGTATAATGACTCTGTAGTTTTCACATTTGCTCAGATCACCTTTCTTCGACATCTTGACGAGGTGTCCTTCTTTCCAGTCCATTGGCACTTGTTCCTCCTCCCAAATCTTTTTGAATAGAGGGTAAAGCATGCTTGTGGTTACTTCGACATCTGATTTCAGTGCTTCAGCTGGTATGTTGTCGGGTCCTGCTGCTTTCCCGTTCTTGATTTGTCTGACGGCCATTCTAATTTCTTCCGTCGTTGGTGGGTTGACATCTATAGGAAGATCTGTGTGTGCTGCTTCGATGTCCGGTGGATTCATTGGAGCCGGCCTATTCAGGAGTTCCTCGAAGTATTCTACCCATCTGTTCCGCTGTTGTTGAATTTCGGTGATTGGCTTGCCTTCTTTGTCTTTGACCGGTCTCTCTGGTTTACTGTATTTCCCTGCTAGTTTCTTCGTTGTATCGTAAAGTTGTTTCATATTTCCTTCTCTAGCAGCTTTTTCCGCCGTCGTTGCTAGTTCTTCCACGTATTTCTTCTTGTCGGCTCTAATGCTTTTCTTCACTTGCTTGTTTGCTTCTATGTATTCAGCTTGTGCTTGGACTTCCTCTGTTCGTGTTCGGCTGTTGTTAATTGCTGTCTTCTTGTTCTTCGTTTCTTTGATCTTGTCCAGTGTTTCTATAGAGATCCATTCCTTATGATGGTGCTTCTTTAGACCCAGAACCTCTTGACACGTTGAAGTTAATGCTTCTTTGATACTTTTACAGTTGTCCTCCATAGTAGTTTCTTCTTCCTTCAGTAGATCCTCGAAGGCTTGGAACCTGTTGTTGAGAGATATCTTGAATTCGTTGATTTTGTTAGTATCTCGAAGGAAGGCTGTATTGAACCTTTGTAGTGCTGTTTGTCCGTTTGTCCAGTCCTTCTTTAGCTTCAGTTTTAAATTGGCCACAACTAGGTGGTGATCTGAAGCTATATCAGCTCCTCTCCTAGTTCTCACATCTTCCATTGTCCTTCGTAATTTTTTATTGATGCAGATATGATCTATCTGGTTTTCTGTAGTGTGGTCCGATGAGATCCATGTAGCTTTGTGTATGCGTTTGTGTGGAAATATTGTGCCTCCTATGACCAATTTGTTGAATGCACACATTTCAACAGTCAATCAAGCTTAATCGTCACCAATATTTGTTTGTATATTTTTAGATGTTTATTTCAACGTAATTGGGCTTCCCTTATTGAGTACATTGAATGTTTATCGAATGAAACCAACTGATGGTGTAAGTTTCCACTTTGTAAATATTATGGATGAACGTGCTTTGAATTTTGAGTGAATTCACACTATCGGTTATTGTGGATTGGTTGTGCCTAGAAAGATAATTTCTGCAGTTGTACAAACTCGACCGAGCTTGATTAAATGAAAATAAGCTGTGTTAAGAAAGATAGAGAGTGGTATCATTTATTGATAGATATGGAAGCACTATACGGATTTAATAACTTTTACAAGAAGAATGTTGGAACGTATGTGAGAAAGTATTTTGTGCTTTAACTAATATTTTATTCATTTTGTCAACGTGTTTAGGGCTACTGGGAATTCCTTTATTGTGCAATCGCTGAGTGGGTACTGGTTCTTGCGTGTCTTCTATTCACTCTAGTTAATGCTCTGGAAACACAAACATATGAAGTCGTTTTAGTACGAAGTAAAATCAGAAATATTACCACAATACAACTTATGAAACAAGTTTAAAATATCTCAATTGTTTCGAGCGACATCTTGTACTCACTAATCTTTAAATCAAATTGATGAATATATTGATGAATAACGAGTTGATCATTTCTTTATGAACTAACTGGTGAGAAAATCGAGAACGTGGTTCTTAATTTGTTTTGAAAGTCAGTTGGGGAAACATTTAAATCGGATGTAATTTGATTTTCACTTACATCAGTTGAAATTTTGATTCTCATTTGGAAATACCATGGTTGCATGTGTTTCCAGATTTAGGAAACAATCTTCGAGGAATTCGAAGTTTCTCTGAATCATCCAATGTTCTCTGTTTTCTTATAAATCTGGGTTGGAAAATCAAAACCTGTGGTATATGTTTGTTCTATGGAACAACGGATAACTTTCAAGTGGGTTTTTGGAAGAGTATCGATACATTGTGATATATCCACATTGATTTAACTGAATAAATTGAAAGCAGTGACCGAATGGTTTGTCAAATGCCAGTTTTAACTGTGAAACAGATTACATAAATGATAACAGTAATTTACAATTACAAACATTTTATTAGTTGACTAGTGCAGTAGTAGCAATAGTATAAATAATAAATAGCTTGATAACATGAGCAAATATTCCTACGTAGTATGTAAGTCAAACTCGAAAAACAAACTTTTTAGAATGATAATCAGTAAATTTAAAGCATTAAGAAGTGTGTGAATAATCATTTCGAATATCTTGAAAAGAAAGAAATTATGTAAAAAGGATCAAGGGAAAAGAAATTGATTTGGAAAATATGGTGAGATCATCTTGTACATTTCCTCTGACTAGAAAACGGCAACAGGTATCGCAAACTTCTTAGGTAAAGAAAGACTATAGTTGTTTGTTAAAATTTCTGGTGTATGTGCAAGATGAAGTGAAACCACATTTAGGAAATTGAAATGCGTTATTTGAATCATTCAAAGTTGTTAATTCTATTTACAACATACCTACTATCAACCTGGTGTTATAGAGCAGAGAGGTGTATTGATTATGTCTAACACTTGCCAAACCTTAAATACGAGTCAGTTACTCAAAATAAGTCGGTGGAAAATACCAGATCAAAATGAAATTCAATATTAACTAAAGACACATTGTCTAAATCTAAATAGTTTTGAATGCCAAAATATTTATTCAGCAGGTCAACTTGATTCTCAGCTTCTCTATGTGAAATAGATGAGTAAGAGAGCGTGACTGGGGTAATAAAAATGACGAATTATGATTCGATTAAAAAAATTACAGTATTTGTTGAAAGTGGGCTTTTCACTGAACTTTTATAGTGCTGAGTATTTGATTGGTCGTAGAGGAAAATGGACGGAGGTCGCACAGTCTATACTCGAAACACAGACATTTTTTTCTCTTTTTTGATTCTCATCTTTATTAATGTGCAACTTTCTAATTGTCACCCTTATTTTTGCAAGCCCTTAGTAATTTGTTTTTTTTTCAATCTTACCCTCTTTCGATCGCGCTTTCAGTGGTCACGCTTTTGCTCATGCCTTTATTAGTGTAAACGATTACCAGAGCTCCATAGGTATTTAATAATTGATATTATATTCAATATACAAACGTTTTACATTTCGGACAATAATGAAAAGAAATTGTAAATAAATTTAATGGGAACAACATAGTAAACTAACAAAGTAGTAATTATAACCTCAAATTCTCAAAACTTCATTAATGAAAGTCTTCTGACGCAAACACATGACGAATATCTACATGTGAGTTAGTTCATTTACACACATGAAAACACAAATCCTCGTAAAATAATATGCAGATAAGTACAATTTGGTTTGAGAAATATTTAAAATGGGGAAAAGTTATTCCCCGTATATTCACACGGTTTTATTGATTTCTTCATACTGGTTTTCATAAGTTCTTAATTCTAAGCCAGTTATCAAGGTGACTTCTATTAATCCCAATATCACGAACCATTCGCTGATTGCACATTGATTGAATTCCTTGTAACCCTGAAGTAAAACAAATCAGTGATGTGCATTATAAGTCTACAAATACCTAAATACTAATCACTTGGAGATAATCTCAGTTAAGTTCACATGGGTGTTATTTTAAATAAAAAGAGTCTTATGGTAAAAAAGAACTCATAAAAATAATCGGGTAGACCAGCTAAGGCTTTACAAACACGATAGCTTTGTTTGTAGATGTTATACATTTAAAGCGAATGGAGATTTTACCTCGGTTATTTTTCACTTTGGCAATACATAGTCATTTTTCCGAAAACTTTGTTTCCTCACTATTTACTCAGTTCAAGTGAGTATGGTGTTGAATACACGAGTGAAGAAACATGAAAAACTTGAAGACAATGTGAAATGTTTTAGTCATGAATTATAAAACCTGTTTGTAAATCTGTGTGTGAATTTAATAGGGGTGAAAGTCAACTGTTCCAAATTGTATTAATTTAACTAGTATTTCTTTCAACACATCAATGGTGTGCATTTTCCTATGTTAATCAAATGCCTTGCATTTCCAAATTGATCCTACTGTGTAGATAGTTTAGATTTTTCCATAGAAACGAATCAGTAAATGTATACTGAATTTCTAGATGTTTCTGTCTTTCAACTTAACGCACACATTGGAAACTTCCCATGGCACCAGATAATAATTGAAACTGGAATGAGGAGAAGAAATCAAGGTGATAACACTCGCTTACATAAGCATGCATAAAACTACGAAAGCTTCAAAATCGACAACACCACAACTTCTTACTCTCCTAAAGGTAAACTGAAGTGACTTGGTTTTCCAGTTTGTGAATGGCATATTCAATATTCTCCCATCTGAAACGCTTGTCCATGTTTGAAATATATATTTTCATGTCACGACTTTGATCATTAAGCTAGATGTTTACGAGAACTACGTAATTCGATTTATTCAGGCGAAGCATTCGTGTTACTTCACCCGGGCTAGATTCTCACAAGTTGTTACGTGATATTGACTTAAGTTTGGTCGAAATCTCAGTTTATTTATTGAATATTCGTATTTACGACAGGATTTGGTCTCTCTAAACTGTTTTGTTTATTTTATGTAAAGTTACATATATGTTAATGAGTAATTCGTTATACATTCATGGATTTCATTTTGTTAAATGTTTGGACGATGGTTTACAATATTTTCACTGTGATCTTCAGTGTTTGAAAAGAGTTCGACGGAAAACATTAATCTACTAAATGAAATGTCAACTCATTTAATATACTGATTGTAAACACTGATATTGATGATCTGCACTCACCGGTTCGTTTTCCTTGATGTAAAACAGGTTTTTTGCCTGCAATACTAGTAGACCAGCTCGATTAAAATAAACAACTAAAGTACGGAAATACAAAGAAATAAATTCAAACGCTAAGTTATTTGACTTATTGTTAATGATAACAAGTAAGTAATGATACACAAAGTCTATCTGAAATAATATTTAATTTATACAGACCTATAGAATAATCCGTATACTTCTAACATGAACAGTCATCTAGAACATGTTCAGGTGTTGTTTGCTTAATGGTAAACAAACTATAGAAATAAAGAATACATAATACTGGTAAATGTCATTAGTAGAAATTTGGGTGAGGCGAAATTATGGAAAACGACTTCATAAATTAAAACCAGTTAAAATACATGTCAGTGTAGATTGGATTATTGATATCCATAAACATTAGTTGTTATTGTCATTTGAAATACAGAATATTCGCCAAATGTTGTGTAACTTACAAGAAAAAGATCCGATGATCATTTGAAGCGAAACAATAATTCTAGCAAGTAGAAAGCATTTCCATAGACGAAAATTATCAACGATAAGTAAAGAACTCAATGGAATAGCGACCGCATGGCAAATAAAATTACTCAACGTCAAATGGAAATGTAGTCGATTAGTATCTTTCATCTGCAATACAATAATCATAATTTGTTGGTTACTAGAGTAAAGAATATTGTAAAATAATTAATGTCACATAAGAGGAAACAATCGCTGACTGAGAATTCCATTTTAATTATGGTTTAATTGTCTACTGTCTATTCAATGAAAATACTTCGTGCATTTTATGTTAATCTGTGATCATGATCTGTCTGAAAGGAGTAAATGATACTTAGAAATTAAACACACAAGCTCTTGACAATGTGACTTTAACAGATTGAAATCATGAGTCAGTTGAAGCTAGACCACCATTGAAAACCTGGAAGCACTGGACGGCCGTTTCGTCCTGGTATGGGACTCCTCAGCAGTACGCATCCACGATCCCGCACCACGCGGGGCTCGAACCCGGACCTACTGGCTTCGCGCGCGAGCACTTAACCATTAGACCACTGAGCCGGCATCCAACGGTGTTAATGTCTAACTTCAACCAATCCACGAAGTTGCGCTGTGAAAATTTCTAAAAATCTCCACAAACCCCTTCTGATAATGTGACTTTAAGACGAGTTATGAGTTTACTTCCCTGTGTAAAATGTGAGAGCGTAATTTTCTATTCACCAACTAATAGTGATACAAGGCATTATTTTATTTTCCTGAATAGGTCTATGAGGCTATACAACAACGTAATTTCGTTCGAACATAACCGAAACACACTACTAACGTAGAACTAGTTATAATTGTTGTTGGAGAACAGCTGAAGAGAGTACTTATTTACAACAAAGTGTCACAAAACTTTATCTTCAAAGCAATACCATAAACTCTGTCAGCAAATAACTATTACTATAACTCATATACATGTTTAAGTACATTATATAAGCACGGAACAGTGATTAATTTGTTGTTTTGAAAAATATGGTAATCTCATAAATCAAGATGTACAAAAGAAAGCAAACATTGTCAAATGTTTTGGACGGTTTCTTGACCATCAATTTCAGTGATTGTAGTGTTTCTCACAACTGGTCTGAAGTAGTTACGGTTCTCTCCTACCAGGTGATTTGTTGCAGTGCAGAAGTCGAACTTGACAACTGAGACAGAAATGAGGATTGTTGTGTAGGCACTATACACGACTATAGTT